AATGTGCAGACCTTAATGATCGGGGAATCCCCGAGAATTCATGTACTGGGTTACCTGGTACGTGCAATGTGATCCTTTATCTTATTCAAGCAACTTGTTCCAGTGTATCTTTTAACTCTATATCGTCTTTGTCAATACATGAGTTCATTAAATAGCTGCTATTTGTTGAATTGGTCAACAACAAAAAACTGAAGAATCTGTTTCATATTTGCACGAAGATGAAGACACTAGAATCTGGGTTAAGATTGTGGACAATTGTACGATAATTTTTTTCATTATTTAACTTGACATTCTATAATGTGCAGACCCTAGTGGTTGGGGAATCCTCAAGAATTCATTTACTGGGTTACCTGGTACGTGCAATGTGATCTTTTGTCTTATTCAAGTAACTTGTTCCAGTGTATCTTTTAACTCTGTATCGTCTTTGTCAATACATGAGTTCATTAAATAGCTACTATTTGTTGAATTGGTCAATAAAAAAAAGACTGAAAAGCTGTTTCATATTTGCACGAAGAGGAAGACACTGAAACCTCTTTCCATAGTTTGTGTAGCCCAAATTCATCAAACTTAGGAGATGATGAACAGGTATTTGACAAGTACCTGTTTCATCAAGTACTACTTTTCTTTTATAATCATTTTGGTGATTTGGTAAACTAAACTTGTTTGTTCCTTTAGTGTGAATGTACTACCTCTGTTAGTTTTGTAAAAAACTCAGTCAAAGCACATCATGTGGAGCACATTTGGGCTTTGTTTTAAGGGTTTTTCACCACTCCATAACCCCTAGATGACTTGAGATAAGAATTATGTTTACTACAACTCGTGTACACATATCTTTTGCTTCCATGAATTACGAATTCACCCAGCCACCATCAGATCACCTCTTGAGTTTTCCTTGATACTTTTAAGTAAAACTTGTTACCTTTTAAAAATCCATATCGTCTTTGTCAACATATGAATTCGTTCAAATAGTTACTGTTTGTTGAATCAGATTGCAAAGAAAGAGAGGTTGAGGAAGCTGTTTCTTCACGTTTTTGTTGTACATTGTCTGTGTTTTTCCAAAAAACTCCAAGATTTTGGTGATTTGTTTAACAAAACTTGTTGGTTGTTTCCCTTTGTTATTCCTTTGCCAGCTTTGCCTTCCATATTTCTCTGGAGTTGTTCATTATTTAACTTGACATTCTATAATGTGCAGACCCTAGTGATTGGGGAATCCTCGAGAATTCAAGTACTGGGTTACCTGGTACGTGCAATGTGATCCTTTGTCTTATTCAAGCAACTTGTTCCAGTGTATCTTTTAACTCTATATCGTCTTTGTCAATACATGAGTTCATTAAATAGCTGCTATTTGTTGAATTGGTCAACAACAAAAAACTAGAGAATCTGTTTCATATTTGCACGAAGATGAAGACACTGGAATCTGGGTTAAGATTGTGGACAATGGCACGATAATTTTTTTTCTTTTGTTTTGTACTTTTTTTTCCCTATGCTCACAAAGTTTAATCCATTATTATTTTGATGCAGCCTGCACCAACTCGAGAGCCGGCTCGAGTGCTGCGGTGCAGCCAAGTCATTCATCTCTTGGTAAATTCTCAAGTTGCAACATTACAAAAACTGCGTTGATTTTTTCTCATTCATACACTTAATTCCTAAAGGCAATCTCTAAATAGTTTCTTAGCTGAGGGTGATGACTTATTTCTAGATTCCACTAACTCCAAGGCCACACCCCTTGCAACCATGGAAGGAGTAGATGAAGAGGAAGAGGGAAACGATACAAACCAATCGCAGAAGCGACTCAAAGTCACCTGTGGCCAGAAGGTAGACTCAGCCACCCAAAGTCACTCGTGGATGAAACCCCAAATTATTTCATGTTCGAAAACTAACATTCCTTGTTTCTCGTTACAGAATGCGACTCAAATTCCTTCTCATACTATTGTCTTCCTTCATTTCTAAACTTCTGACAATATTTTGTTTTGGTGGCTCAAAAGTCGATTGCTACTTCTGCTGCTCCTAAGTCTAACACTCCAGCCATGCTGCAATCAAGACCAACCTCAGATGCCAACCAAGATTTTGAGGTAAACACTATTTCATCTTTGATTTGTAGTGTGTGTGCGTATGTTTTTTTTTTTTTTTTTTAAATCTTTTGATCCGTCTTTATTTGAACCTTTTTGTTAACAAATCTGTTTGAACATAGAATCAAGAGCAGGAACTCGAGCCTACCTCTATTGAGCCAGAAAATGGCAAAAGCAAGGCTGTCGTTCAAAATGATTTTGGGTCAGGAAAGGTACGTACACAAGTTTCTTTAATTCGACGTCCCTTAGGTCTTGTCAAATTTGAAGGTAAAACATGGATTAGAAAATAGTAGAATTTGGAGGGATAAGTTTACTTCAAAACTAAACTATCTTCTAGCTTCAACTTGGACATAATTTGGAAGTTGGCATCCATGTCTTCGTTTGACATACATCGTATATATCTATTCCATTCCAGTCTTTGACACTAGCTTAACGAGGCCTTAATAGTTTTCTCCAACGTCTTTCTATTGTAGAGTCATGAGTTTTCAGAAGTTGCAGTTTGGGACTCCTATAAAAGCCTCCTTGAACTTTTAGGTCGAGGGCTTGCACCCAATACACTGGCCAGCTCCTCCATTTCTACTCCTGCCACAGACTCGCAAGCCATAGAAACAATCAGAACTTTTCTAGAAATGGACTTTGCTACTATGGCTGGCAATGTTAAACAAACTGACATGATTTCACACATCAAGAGACTCGTAGTTTCTAGTTGGTTTCCCTCTGACAGCAAAACATGCATTTTGCCATTATTGGAGCAGCTAGAGCAACCTGTTCGAGACTATTCCGAGTATGATAAGGGCAAAAAATTGAATGCCCAAGTCGAAGATATGAGAAAGCTTCTTGAACTTAAGGTTCCGTTTTGTGATAGCAAGATGAGAGACTATCAAAGACTTGAGAATGAGAGAAAGCAAATTGTAGCCAAGCAGGCCATACTATGTGCTGAAGTTGGTGGCGCCGTTAAAGAGACTGAACGGAACCAGGCAAAACTCAATGAATTGCTCCCACAGCGAGACCAATTTAAACAAAATAAGGCTAAACTCAAGACCAGCTTGGTTATTGGAGCTGGCTACTGGAAAATCTTGAAGAAAGTAATTTTCAACAACCTTGGTCTGTGACTTCCTTCTTTGGGTTGCATTTGGGCTGCAGTGTTTTTTTAATTTTCCTTTTCTTTTTGGTGGTGTATCTTAACAAATTCGATCCATAATATATCAAAATGAAGATTTTTTTTCTTTTGCTTTTCTTTTTGGTGGTGTATCTTAACAAATTCGACCCATAATATATCAAAATGAAGATAGGAAAGTGTAGAACAAGATTATACCTATTTGAAAGCCCAAGGGTTGCCAAAGATGGCAGGAAAATAGCTTGAAAGATGACTGGTCCGTGGAAAAATTGGAAAACTCGTTAGAAACTGGGTAAACTTTAAACGTTCATAACTTTTTCAATACTCAACGAAATCGAGTGATTCCAAAGCGAAATTCATACTTCTTGATGGCACGAAGAGAATGGTACCTTTCTCGATGGCTTATGGGTACAAACTTATTCTAATTTTTTATTTATTTTGGAATGTTTTGGAATTGAAAATTAGTTAGGAGCTTAATAAAGGTTTGTGTATTAAAATTATAAATCTATTATTAATTTTTATTTTAAAAAATTATGTAACCGATATGTAAATTCATTATTACATTAATGCTAGGGATTTGGATCATAATCTGAAAACTAATAAGGTTTCAGTTAATGAACATTAGTAATTAGAGACCAGATACTAACTATATATTATGCTCTCAAAGTTTAAGATGATATTTAAATTAGGTCATTAAATTTTAATTTTTTCAAATTGTTTCTTAAAGTTTTGAAACTATATCAATTTACACTTTTTGTAACATTAAATGTCTATTATACAATAAATTGATGAGTTTTTAGGTTTTATGTTGCAAATGTGGCTTACATGTCAATCTAGTTACGGATTTTATGCTCACCATGTCATCAAATTAATGAAGATTTAGTTAATTCATTACACAAAATGTGTAAATTGATACCATTTCAAAATATTATGGTGCAATGTAATAAATTAAAATCTGATGACCCATTTTGAAAATCACGCAAAACTAGAGGGTGCAAAATATAAATAGCCAATAGAAAATGAAAAGCTTTTCCCAGATGCAAAATGTAGTTCACCAAAAAGAAAACAAAACCCAATTGAAAATGAATGTTAAAAAAATGAAAAAGCTTTACAACCCAAAATTTTCTTGGTTTTTATAATTTCATACATCAAGTTTTTTTAATCCCAGTCAGGTATCTAAAGTGATAATTTTAGAACACTTTCATACATTCGTTAAGTTTTCTTTAACTTGTAACGTAACCCCCAAGTGGACAATGATTAGGCGCCGCAGTCAATCTGAATCCACGTAGATATTAAAAAAATTAAATTTAATTTAAAAGTAAAAAAAATTTACAAATTTTAAAAAAAATTTAATAAGCCAAAAGAAGAATAAAGGATAAGACCATCTTCAACTCTTAGATTAAAACCTAAATTTTCTAGATCAAACTTAGGGCTGGGTTCGATTCAAAATGGTTTGGTTTTTTGCCAAAACCAAAACTTCTGCGATTTGGTTCACTTCGGTTCATTTTTTTTGTTTTTTTTGTTTTTGTTCGGTTTAATTTTGATTTGGTTTTTTCTTGTTCAGTTACATTTTTTTTTTTCGAATTTTTTTTGTTTTTGAAAATTGAAATTTTAACATCTCCAACATAATCATAAAATAAGCATTGCAAATTTCCAACCTTGAAATCTAAAATTTTAACATCTCCAACACAATCATAACATAAGCATTCCAACACAATGAAAATAAACATTTAAAGTTCAACTAGAATCATCAATCAAGTCTTCCAAAGTCCAAACTTCAAAAAAAAAAAGTTTAAAAAAAAACAAATTCAAAGTTTAAGTCTTCAAAAGTCCAAATTTAAAATAAACATCACATTTCAAATATCCACACCTAAAATAAACATAACAAAGTCCAAACTTTAAAGAAATATTCCACTTAACTAAAATCATAACAAAGTCCTTCAAGGTTTCATGTCTTACACTCGCTTTTCTCTTCAAGCCCTCAAGCTCAACGCTTAGTCGGCCTATGAGGAAACATAGTACCTTTCCTTGAACTTTCAATTGCCATTTCTACATACAAATAAAAAAAGAAGGAACATGATGTAAATGCAAGTATGCAACATAACATCTAATTTAAATAAGGTTTTTTTAATCAAAATGGTCCTTGAGATTGTCCACCATCCATTATTTTGGTCATTCCGTTACAAACTCTGTTAAATGCCCCAAAGCTCTTGGCCAGAAGGTTAAGCAATTTTCAAAGTTTTGTAACTCAATCGTTTCTTAACCAAATTTGACACATACTATATCAAAATGAAAGGAAAGTTTAGAACAAGATTATACCTATTTACAAGCCCAATGGTTGACAGAGATGGTCGGAAAATAGCCTGAAAGGTGACGGAGATGTTGGAGATGGTCGGAAATTGATGAGTTTTTAGATTATGATATATTATGGTAAAAACACATGAAAGATCATGCATCCAATGATTGTGGACCTAATAATCTTGCACTCAACACCGAATACCTAAATGTCATCAAACCAAAGTAAACTTTCATTTAACTAAGTTCTTAGCACTTCAGTTCAATCTTAAGTTAAAAAGAGTAGTTCAATTGACTAAAATTACACAAAAGAGAGAAAGACAGTACATAGAATCGTGGAAATGTGTACTGTGATACTGATCCTGCAAGTTAAATATGAAAAGTGTAAAAGCTCAAATTATCCTTAGCATCAGTAGATTAACAATGAAAAGAAGAAAACTTGTGTATGTTTACATTTAGTATAACATGAATATGCACGTGCATAGTAAATACCAAGCAGAAAGTATTACCAGTAAATTAGATTCAACACAACATAGAGAACAATTCGACTACTATATGTGTAACTCTATAAACTCCTTACCACATCAATCTTGAGAGGTCCAAAAAGTCTAAAGTCTCAAAAACTTATCCATATTCAGCTCCAATCGCCTGAAAACACCAAAAAACTGAGTGGTAAATATAAATTCATCAAAATTCCTTATTCAAGGATAAGCTAAAAATGGAAAAGATTCAAATCCCAGAAACTGTTTGGTAAGATCCAAGAAATTCTATCGCAGCTGAAATTTTCATTCTTAGATTGCATGGACAACCCTTTTTGTTTTGGTAAGATCCTAGAAATTCTATAGCGGCTGTAAATTTTCATTTTGCACCTTAACTCATGCCAATTTAAATGCGACATTCATGCCCAATCTGCATCATGTGTCTATGGACAAATAGTTGTAATGCTAAAACTCAAATTCTGTCCCAAGTATACAAGGGTCACAAACATATATACACACACCTCGAGATGAAAATTTCACCGAGTGATCTAGCCTAGTAGCATTAATGTAAACCTTCATTCTGCACTTCAACCGCCTCATTGTTTCTTCCGCAAGTTTTCAAACAAATCTGTAAATAGAATGAAAGAGAAATTATAGATTATAATGGCAACAATCTTTAAAAAAAGAAAAAAAAAATTTAAAACTCTGTACCTTTCTTTTTCTCATCCTAATAAGTTCTCTCAGCCTAGGCAAAAGAGAAAAAAAATTCAATGAATTTAGACATGAAGAAATGAAGAAATTTATACTGTAAAGAATGCAAACGTAGACATGAAATGATAACTCTATTGGTAGAATGAAAATGATGTCTACTCTAAATCACATCCTTTCGCTAATAACATTTTACTTATTTTTTTATTTTTTTAAAGAAATGTAAACAGACATTTTAGAATGAGTTGGAACTCATATTGTATATTGAGATAAATGACTATCTATTTGATATTAGAGTATCACAATGGCATACCTTGGCCTTTTGGACTGGTCCCTCGCCAGAAGTCATCTTTTATGTTAACATTTGATGTTATGACTTTTGCATTCAACTTGTAGAATATAAGTAAACTTTATAATTTGATTGTTTCATTTTAAAAGGTGGAAATTAGGGCAAACCACACTGGACAAAAACCAAAAATGAGAAAAAGAAGCATTAAGAAACACAGAATACGAAGACTAAGCAAATATATATCACATATACTATAAAAGAGCCTAAAATTTAAAACTCAATAATTAAAAAATTTAAATTGCTTACCTTAAACAGCTGAAATTTTCAAAAACACGACAATCAATCTGTGCAAAAAGGCAAACAACGAACGATTATTAAAGTGGACAATAGACTTTAGGGAGAATACATACTTCTGCTGACACTTCGCCCAAGGTTGTTGTCCTGCTTCAGTGGATCTATTAAATTAAGATGCTTCAGGGAAAAAGCTCGCAAGTTTGTCTCATTGCTGGAACAGAGAACATTTCCACACAATTTCGAATAAATTCTTCACTCAGCAGTAGATCATCTCTCCCGTTTTCGGGTGCCTTAGCTGCAGTTTAATAAGTGAGTGAGTCAGAGAGTGAGAGAGAGAGAGAGAGAGCAAGAAAACACAAATAAGCCATCCAACATCAAAAGCACACAATAATATCTCTTACCCACTATATCAGGCAAGGATGATTTGCATACTGGTCCATTTAAACTTATACAATAGTTCTCCCAGTCAAATTTGCTTAAGTAATCCAAAAATCTATAAAGGACCTATAGAAATGAAAAGTAATTAAGTTCTTAAACTTATATATGTATCGGAAAGAAGGATTCAAAATTGACTTGGGAGTACTCACTGCCAGAGGGCCATCCAGTGACGAATGGAAAACGAACATGCATTGCTGTGTAAAAAAGGAACATGCATTGCTGTGGTATGGCAAAAAGGAAAATTTTTCGGGTTCTAGCAGAAACCTATACAGAAGAAATTAAATAGCAAAAAGGAAAAATATTGGGAACTCTTCGCTCAATTCCAAAATGTGGGTTTCAGAGTTACGATCTACATTTGTCAAAAGGAAGAGAAATAATACAATTTCCTATGTAGTTAATTACTTATAAACCCTAACGCAAATTACAGGATAGGGATGGTTCAGATTAATATGTAGCAAAAAAAAAAAAATGGAATAACAGATAACAAAGAGCTAGAATTAGAGGTTTGGCATTTCTCACTTTCCTTTTTACATTTTGATTTTCCTTTCCAATTTTTTTACTTCCTTCTTTCTGTAATTTCACACACACACACACACCCACCCAGAATACTTACCTTTGTAATGGCCGTCGACTATGGGGATGGCGAGGCGGGCGAGTGCACAACGATGGGGCTGTGGGGCTACGAGGCGCTGCAAGGCTGCGGGGCTCCCAGCTACGAGAGTGGAGGCTGAGATATCATAGAACGACACAAATGAGGGAGTGATGGCTGAGATATTAAAGAACGACACAGGTGAGGGAGTGAGTCTGACTTAGTGAGGGAGGTGTGGGGGTGGAAAACTCTCCTAGGGTTAATAGCATAGCCAAAAAACGACATTAACTTAAGGGTAAAAACGACATTTGAGCATCAAAAGGGTAAAACGACATTAACTTATAAACCCTAACCCAAATTACAGGATAGGGATGGTTCAGATTAATATGCAGCAAAAAAAAAAAAATGGAATAACAGATAACAGAGAGCTAGAATTAGAGGTTTGGCATTTCTCACTTTCCTTTTTACATTTTGATTTTCCTTTCCAATTTTTTTACTTCCTTCTTTCTGTAATTTCACACACACACACACTCGCCCGTTTACTTGGAACTCGGTTTCTTTGTTTCACAAAACCTTCAGAACAAAGCACTGCATTATGTATTGCAGGCCATGAGTCAGTGAATTGTAGAGCTGTAGCTGCTTGTGCAAAATTCCAATCACACTGGTTCATCAAAAAATTCCAATCACGCTGAATTTAATCGAATCCCGCTGCTGACTTCATGGCGGAGAGCGATCGCGATCATCGTAAGTTTGATATGTTGGATAAAAATGTTGACATTTTGCAATTCATTGCAATATGAGTATGTTGATCCTGTAAGAGTTGAATAATTCTTTTTCTTTTTTTAAGGATATTTACTTGTGTTCGTAAATATATTTTGATCCAAGTTCATCTGTGGTTCTTATGTTTTCTTCAAAGTTGTTAAGAAATATGCCATCGAGTATGACTTTCTGAGAAGCCTGCAATTACGCCACCAAGTACGACTTTCTGCTGCGTTGCATTTGTTAAGAAATATTGTATTGGCTGATTAAACTCGAATTTTCTTTAGCATTTTAGGAATTTGATTTTGCTTTCTGCATTCATACACTATATTTCATAGAGGGAGACTCTATATAAATAGTTTCTTAGCAGAGCGTGATGACTTATTTCTAGACTCCACTGCCTCAGAAGAAGGAAAGTCCAAGGCTACACCCCTTGGAACCATTGAAGAAGTTGTCGTGATGAGCTCCCATGAAAGACTTCATGAACTTTTAGACCGAGCGTCTGCATCCAATACACTGGCCAGCTTCTCCATTTCTACTCCTACTTCAGAAATGGACATTACTACGATTTTGGTTGGTTTTAATTACTTTCCCACCGACATCGGACTAATGATTTTGGCAGTATTGGAGCAGCTAAGCAATCTGTTCTAGCCTACCCCGAAGCCTATCCTAAGTATGATATGGCCAAAAACTTAAGCGAACAAGTCAAAGCTACGAAACAGCTTCTTCAACCTAAGGTTCAGTTTTGTGACAGCAAGGAGAGAGAATTTCAAGACCTTGCAGAGAGGAAATTCTGGATTGAAACCAGGCAGGCCGCAATAGTTGCGGAAATTCACGACGCCATCAAAGAGACTGAACCAATCCAGGCACAACTCGAGAAATTGCTCCTGCAGCAAGATCAATTTAAAGAAAATGAGGGTAATCTCAAGACCATCTTGGATATTGGAGATGGCCTCTGGACAACCTTGAAGAACATAATTCACCCCCACCTCCCCACGTGACTTCCTTTCTTGGATTGCATTGGGGCTGCAGTTCTTTTTCCATTTCTTTTTGGTGTTGTTTTGGATGGTGTTCTCAGTACACTTGAAAAATCATGTTTAAGCCGTATTTTGGTCTTTTGAACTTTAATTGAAGTATTTTTGTATTATATGACTTTTTTAGATTCTTAATAACAAGTGCATTTGCTTTGTCAACCTTGTATTTCTATTTTTTACTCTTGTAATTTCTCATCTTCGTTTGATCCGAAACGGAAGGATGAGATTTTAATTAGTATCTAAATGCATGACAACGATAATGGAAAAATTGGTTTTGATGGATGTATAAAATCAGCAATAACCTAGTTTTCTTTATAATAATTTATTTAAAATTTGGTCATGTCAAATTTTTTTTTATATTTCAGTCATGTTAATGTTTAGGAAAGTTAGATATAACTATAGGTTCGACTCCGAGAGATTCTTTGTTAAAGTTTTTTGCCCTAACTATATTATATGCTCTCAAAGTTTAAGATGATATTTAAATTAGGTCATTAAATTTTAATTTTTTCAAATTGTTTCTTAAAGTTTTGAAACTATATCAATTTACACTTTTTGTAACATTAAATGTCTATTATACATTAAATTGATGAGTTTTTAGGTTTTATGTTGCAAATGTGGCTTACATGTCAATCTAGTTACGGATTTTATGCTCACCATGTCATCAAATTAATGAAGATTTAGTTAAGGGAGCTGTTATTGGCACTCCTATAATCTCAATCCACACTCCTTCTATATTTTTAATTTATCTATTTTAATTCTATTAATGTGGTTTTCCGATTTTGCTCTTATATTACTTTTAAAGTCTACAATCTTGAAAACCTTATTAAGTATTGTGATATCCCGTCCCGAAACTATCGAAACGTACATGTGAAATGATCACTTTGCCCCCTAGCTAGTTCATTTACGTTATTGGTTGTTTGTGTGCCTTGTTGGCATGTTTGGAATCACACACACACAGCCACACACTCCACCTCTCCCTGTCCCTTTCCCTGTCTCTCTCTCTCTCTCTCTCTCTCTCTCTCTCTCTCTCCCGAGTCCTCTATCTTTCTTCTTCTTCCTTCGAGTGTACGGACAAACCCAAAACCCACCAAATCCTTGCAGATCGAAGGAACCAAGGACACCATCAAGCTCCTGAGGCTGTGAAGAGCACAGTGGTACCATTTTCAGGTACGGTTGTAGCTGTTTTCACGTCGATTCGACGAAGTCCGTTTAGTTACTATTCATGCAAACATTGATCTAGCATGTTTTTGGACTTTTGAAGCTCATAGGTGTCTTAGTGAGGTTCCAAGGAGCCTCGGAGTGCTTCGTTGGAAGTGTTTGGACGTAGGAATCACCTGGTTCGAGTTTGACCGGTTTTGGAGGTTTGTGGACAGGTGAGTTTTCGTAGGTTTTAGCCTTTAAAACTTGTATAGACGTGTTCTACTAGTTTAGGGCTTCATTTTGGTATAAAAATCATGAAAAATGGTGGAAAAACGAGCGAGAAAACACGATTTGCAGGTTTTCCGGCGACGGCGCCGGAGTCTCGCCGGAAAAGGTGACGGAATATTCCGTCAGAATTCTGACGGAATATTCCTGACGCCGTTAACAGAATCTGTCAAAACTGACGAAATATTCCTAACGGCGTCAGTTGACGCCGTCAGCGTGCCAGGCACGTGCCTGCGCGTGGCCGGCGCGTGCGGCGGTGGAAAATTTTTCTAAAAATTTGGTTGTGATCCTGAGGTTGTGTAGAGCACGTTGGTATATTCAATTGTCCATTTTGAGCAATGTATGAGAAGTTATTTTGAACGGAAGGTTATGTGCTTTAAAATTAACGTTTTTATAGTATTTTCGCATATAGGTGACACGTATCCCGAGGACGAGCGTGCTCACGCGAGACAGGGGGGCTACGACCCTTCCACATACCAGTGAGTGGGCTTTTGGTTTTCCGTATATACCTATATACATTTATATTCCCAGAAATTGTTAAAAAGTGTTATTCGTTTTATGCCATGCACTATATCCTTATTGTTTATGCATTGTCATATGCATTAGTAGTGTCATACATATACATATTTATATTTGGTGCTGTGGAGGCGCAGGTAAGTGCCAGGTAAGCGTTATTTAACCTTTGCATTAAATAGTGATTAGAGATGCTTAGAGAGCTCATAACCTGCACCCCCGGTGTTAGTGCTCCCGCCCAGAGTAGGGCACAGTCCTTCACGTGATGTTCACCTCCCGCACTATACGCTCAGCTTGGATCCAAGTTAGGTGCACAGTCCTGTCGTACAGACCACTTTAGGTGGTTCCGACTCGTAGGTGACCCGCGATTATTCACACAGCCTTCACGTGATTGTAGCACTAGAGCGTTTATATGTATTACACCCAGGCCTGTCGTACAGACCACTATAGGTGGTTCCGACTCGTGGGCAGGTTTAGTGATTGAGATTGAGATTTGAGCTCTAGATTCAGCCGTACAGGTCACTTAGGGGACTCCGGCTGCCAGATGTTATGCTATTGATGTGATTTATACCTGAGCACTTGCATATCATTATAAGGCTTTGACATGGCACATTCTTGAACATGATTGGCATATTTATACATACGTATATATATATATATATATATATTTATTTCTAGGAAGTATACAGGTTTTACGGCGAGGGGTTAGAATGTATTTTACTAAATGGTTTTCAAAGAGCTTTGTTTTTGCCCACTCACGCTTTTGTTTTGCGCCCCTCCAGGTTCTAGTTGCTTAGCAAGTTCGGTGGTTTTCCCAGAGGGCATCCCGGCATTTCTGACAGACACTCACCGATGTAGGGTCACCTTCGGGTGCACTATTGTCGTATCATTTCCTTTGGACTGCTGTAGGCTTTATGCTCTGAATTCGACGTCTCACTTACGCTAGCACTTATCTTATCACATTATGTATGCTAGTTTTTTTAAATTATTCGTACTTTTATATTACTTCGATTAGCTTCCGCACTGTGCACTTGGCTACGTCACTTCCACGTGACGGTCCAGCATGCCCTGATCTCGGTCGGAGTGTGTCAAGTATGATGACATAAATATTTATAGGTAGTTGTAATGACCTTCTGTGCTCTAGAAGCAAGTCGGCTTTGCAATTGTTTACTTTGAGGTTTTCCAGTAGACCTTATAAGCAAAAGACTCTAAGGCTTATATAAGAATTAGAGTTTCATTATTACATTAATGTTAGGAACTTGGAATAAGATTTGAAAAGTAATAAGGTTTCAGTCAATAAACATTAGTAATTTGGGACTGGATATTTATTTTTATTTATTTTTTTCTGTTAAATTCGGAATATTGAAGACAAACAAATAAAAAGACAATTTGGTGCTTCGATTGATTTTTTCTTTTGTCGGGTGCTTCGATTGATTTAATGCAGACAAATTATTTTGTATGAAAAGTCTGAACAAGAAAGTCAGAGTTGGCTACTACTCGTCATTCAGCCTTTTTTAAGTCTTTTGTCGGGTTCTGCCTTTTACTCGGCACTCGAGCCTTATTTTGTGTGAGAAGTCTGAACGGAAAAATCAGAGTTTGCTACTCGGCATTTTCACTTTTAAACGCGGTTCTGCCTTTTTACTCGGCGCTTGGTTTCTTTGCTACTCGGCATTATATATTGTGGGCCATGAGTAAGTGAATTGTAGAGCTGCAGCTGCTTGTGCAAATTGCAATCACAGTGAATTTAATCGAAACCCACTGCTGACTTCATGGCGGAGAGCGATCGCGATCATTGTAAGTTTGATATGTTGGATAAAAATGTTGACTTTTTGCACTTCATTGCAATAAGAGTAAGATCCGATTTGAATAATTCTTTTTTTTTTTTTTAAAGGATATTTACTTGTGATCTTAAATATATTTTGATCCAAGTCCATCTGTGGTTTTTATGTTTTCTTCAAAGTTGTTACGAAATATGCCGTATTTCTAGACTCCACTGCCTCGGAAGAAGGAAAGTCCAAGGTTACACCCCCCCCATGCAACCATTGAAGAAGTTGTGGTGATGAGCTCCCATGAAAGACTCCATGAACTTTTAGACCGAACGCCTGCATCAAATACACTGGCCAGCTCCTCCATTTCTACTCCTACTTCAGAAATGGACATTACTATGATTTTGGTAGGTTCTAATTGCTTTCCCACCGACATCGGACTAATGATTTTGGCAATATTGGAGCAGCTAGAGCAATCTGATCCTACTCAGAAGCCTATGATATGGCCAAAAACTTGAGCGAACAAGTCAAAGCTACGAAACAGCTTCTTCAACCTAAGGTTCAGTTTTGTGACAGCAAGGAGAGAGAATTTCAAGACCTTGCAAAAAGGAAATTCTGGATTGAAGCCAGGCAGGCTGCAATAGTTGCGGAAATTCACGGCGCCATCAAAGAGACTGAACCGATCCAGGCACAACTCGAGAAATTGCTCCTGCAGCAAGATCAATTTAAAGAAAATGAGGGTAATCTCAAGACCATCTTGGATATTGGAGATGGCCTCTGGACAACCTTGAAAAACATAATTCACCCCCACCTCCCTACGTGACTTCCTTTCTTGTGTTGCATTTGGGCTGCAGTTCTTTTTCCATTTCCTTTTGGTGTTGTTTCGGGCGGTGTGCCCCGTAGATTGAAAAATCATGTTTAAGCCGTATTTTGGTCTTTTGAACTTTAATTGAAGTACTTTTATATTATATGACTTTTTTAGATTGTCACTAACAAGTGCATTTGCTTTGTGGATCAGGATCCTCTCCTGATCTTTCTATGGGTATCTTCATGACCAACAAGTGTGGGACGTTGGATGAAAATCTAACGGCTACAAACAGAAGGGTCCTTTTAAAGTTATAATAATTATAGCCGTTGAATTTTCATCCAACGGCCCACACTTATTGGTTAAGAGGATCCCCATAGAAAGATCAGGAGAGGATCCTGATCCTTGCTTTGTCAACCTTGTATTTCTATTTTTTACTCTTGTAATCTCTCATTTTCGTTTGAGCCGAAACGGAAGGATGAGGTTATAATTAGAATCTAAATGCATGGCAATGATAAAGAAAAATTGGTTTTGATGGATGTATAAAATCAGCAATAACCTAGTTTTCTTTATAATAATTTATTTAAAATTTGGTCATGTCAATTTCTTTTTTATTTCAATCGTGGTTAATGTTTAGGAAAGTTGGATATAACTATAGGTTCGACTCCGAGAGATTCTTTGTAAAAGTTTTTTGCCCCAACTATATATTATGCTCTCAAAGTTTAAGATGATATTTAAATTAGGTCATTAAATTTTAATTTTTTCAAATTGTTTCTTAAAGTTTTGAAACTATATCAATTTACACTTTTTGTAACATTAAATGTCTATTATACAATAAATTGATGAGTTTTTAGGTTATATGTTGCAAATGTGGCATACATGTCAATCCAGTTACGGATTTAAGCTCACCATGTCATCAAATTAATGAAGATTTAGTTAATTCATTACACAAAATGAGTAAATTGATACAATTTCAAAATATTAGGGTGCAATGTGACAAATTAAAATCTGATGACCCATTTTGAAAACCACGCAAAACATAGAGGGTGCAAAATATAAATAGCCAATAGAAAAGAAAAAAAACCAATAGAAAATGAAAAGCTTTTCCCAGTTGCAAAATGTAGTTCACCAAAAAGAAAACAAAACCCAATTGAAAATGAATGTTAAAAAAATGAAAAAGCTTTACTACCCAGAATTTTCTTGGTTTTTATAATTTCATACATCAAGTTTTTTAATCTCAGTCAGGTTTCTAAAGTGATAATTATAGGATACTTTTATACATCTGTTAACTTTTCTATTAAAATAATCGTTAACTTGTGACGTAACCCCCATGTGGACAATGACTAGGTGCCGCGGTCAATCTGAGTCTACGTGGATATTAAAAAAATTTAAAAATTTTAAATTTTAAAAAAGCAAAAAGAAGAAGAACAGATAAGATCATCTCCAACCCTTAGGTTAAAACCTAAATTTTCTAGGTCAGACATAGGGCTGGGTTCGGTTTTTTGCCAAAATCGAAACTTTGGTTCGGTTCGGTTTGGTTCATTTTTTTTCGTTTTTTTTCAGTTCGGTTTAATTTCGCTTCGGTTACGTTTTTTTTTTTTTCAAATTTTTTTTTTTTGAAATTTGAAATGTTAACATCTCCAATATAATCATAACATAAGCAATCCAAGTTTCCAACATTGAAATCTGAAATTTTAACATCTCCAACACAATCATAACATAAGCATTCCAACACAATGAAAATAAACATTTAAAGTTCAACTAGAATCATCAATCAAATGTTCCAAAGTCCAAACTAAAAAAAAAATCAAAGTTTAAGTCTTCAAAAGTCCAAATTTAAAATAAACATCACACTTCAAGTATCCACACCTAAAATAAACATAACAAAGTACTTCAAGGTTTCATGTCTTACACGCACTTATTCTCTACAAGTCCTCAAACTCAACGCTTAGGCGGCCTATGAGGCAACATAGTACATTTTCTTGAACTTCCACTTGTCATTTCTACATACAAATAAAGAAAGAAAGAACATGATGTAATGCAAGTATGCAACATAACATCTAATTTAAATAATCTAACAAAACCAAATCTAATAAGTAAGATTACCTTTCTCAACTTCTTCACAAAACTCAATCTCCTCAAAAGTCGGTGAAATTAACATATATGAAATAGGCAAAAATTATCCTATGAAATTAACATATACCACTGGATACCACATTTTAAATTATAGGCAAAAGTTAACATATATGAATAATGAATCTATGAAATAAGCAGAAGTAGATAACCATAACTCAAACAAAGGTCCGGTTGACAAAAAGAGGCATAAATTAACATATACCACTGTATGCTATCATTGATTATTTTCCTACCACCTCTCTATTCAAACAAAGATCCGGTTGACAAAAAGAGTCAGGGACATATTCGACGATGTACCAAATCAAAAAAACACAAATGCAAAATATACTCCTAATTAACTGATGAAATAAAAAGCTACAGCAGCCACAATGAGCATATGTGTGCATACATGTGTTTAGTCTTGTCTCAACAAACATATGACTGGAGGAAAAACCTAAAGCCAATCTTAACAAATCCACAATGGCCTTAGGCCATCTCCAACCGAATGATCCAGAGGGCTACAGGGCTGAAAATAGCCCGAAACCGTCTCCAACTGAGAGCTAATGGGCCCCACGAGACAAAAAAGAGTCGAATGGCCAACCAACTGGCCCAACCTAGCCAGCCAACCATTGGATTGGATTTGATTTTTTTTTTTTTTCAACCTAAATTTTTAAATTTTTTTTTAAATTCTCATTTTATTTTCCTATAAATACCTAAGCCATTCCTACATCATTTGTCACATAATTTTCACCATTCCATACTATCTCGATTCATTCTATTTCAATTCTTCACATTCTATTTTCTTACCTCTTCCAATAATATTTCCTTCAATTTTTTAAATAATTTTCAAATAGCCTCATCTTCAATGAAAGGTAGGGCTTGGACCCGAAAAGAAGATGAAGCACTTTGCAGGGCTTATAGATGGGTCTCAAAAGATAGTGTGAGGGGACGTTCTCAAACAAGTGAAGGTGTTTGGACTCGTGTGTTCAAAAAATACTATGAGTTCTACGAAGGCACCACTCCACGGAATACCCGAAACCACGAGAGTTGTTCTTCAAGATGGAAGAAACATCTTCATCCAAGTTTGAATAAAATGGCATCAATCACTATTAGCAACCGCAAGTAGACATGAAAGCGGCGCCAATTACTACGACGAAGTAAGTGTTTTCACAATTTATTTTAAATATTTAATTATATTACATTTAATTTCATAAATTAATTTCTTTTAATTTTTGTAATTATATTTAATTCTATTACATTTAATTTCATAAATTAATTTCCTTTAATTTTTGTAATTATATTTTATAGGTATGCCAAACGGAGGAATTGTATATGGAGGGCAATTTGAAACCCTTTTAGCATTACGGTTGTTGGGAAATTTGTAAGGGGTGGATGTTACTTGAAGATCCACCTCAACATAGAGTAGGTCCTACGCCGATGTTCAGAACTACATCCTCAGTTGTAGATGGGGATGAAGATGGATCTCCTACCATTCAAGAAACAAGGGTAGAAAATCCGTCTTCGGGTGAAGGTTCCACACCTAGGGCTATGGGACGAAACAAGGCTCGAAGGTTGAAGGAAAAGGGTAAGGCAAAGGATGATTACGCCGCTCAACAGGAAGTGGCAACATCATTGCAATAAATGGCGGAGCAAAATGCCATTGCCGCGGAAGAAAGGAACCGTAGGCATGAAGAACAAGTCAAACAAATACAAGAAGAGATGGATGATAGGAATATGCAAAGGAACATTTCGGATTACACTCCAATGAGTAAGGCCTATTTTGATAGGAAAAAGAGGAAAATTATGGCCCGGTGACAATTGTTTACCTTCGACTATACTCCTACAATGGCGGATGATGAAGATGATGATGATTATGGACTTTAAATTAAAGTTGTTGTAGTTTTTAAAATTTAGTTGTAGTTTTTAAATTTAAGTTGTTGTAGTTTTTAAATTTAAGTTGTTGTAGTCTTTAAATTTAAATTATGTTTGGCCCTATAGCCTTATGGCCTTCGATTGGAGATGGTTTTTTGTCACAGGGCTATGTTTGGCCTATGACCCTCTAGCCCTTCGGTTGGACATGGTAAGAAATATGACCCTGCATTGTTCAATAAAATATTAATTTCTTGGAGGGCTATAGGGCCAAAGAGAGTCATCTGGTCCTCATTCGGTTAAAGATAACCTTATTTGATCTGACCAACATATATAGCATAATGAATGGTTTTATATCAGCGCCTTGAAAGACCAAGTCAATCATGTCAATGGGATCAATCAAGAAATTAAGAAGAGACATGATGCATGAAGATAGAAGAAAGAAAAGCTCCTATTCCAATCTGATGGCAAATAACATGATATGTTTTCACCTTTTTTGAGGAGTTTACCTACGCAATATATAACAATTTATTCATAACAAAGGACCCCTAGAACAACAACAAAATCACACCCTCGGTTTGAAACATATTATTATGAAAAAGGAACATGCATTGCTGTGGTATGGCAGAAAGGAAACCTTTTCGGGTTCTAGCAAAAACGTATACAGAAGAAATTAATAGCAAAAAGGAAAAATATTGGGAACTCTCAATTCCAAAATGTGGGTTTTAGAGTTACGGTCTACATTTGTCAAAAGGAAGAGAAATAGTACAATTTCCTATGTATCTAATTACCTATAAACCCTAACTCAAACTATTGGATAGGGATGGTTCAGATTCATATGCAGTAACAGAATTAATAAATGGAATGGAATAACAGATACAGGGAGAGATAGATAGAATTAGAGGTTTGGCATTTCTCATTTTCCTTTTTACATTTTGATTTTCCTTTCCAATTTTTTTACTTCTTTCTGTAATTTCACAAACACATACCCATCCAAAATACTTACCTTTGTAATGGTTGTCGACTATGGGGATGGCGAGGCGGGCGAGTGCTCGACGGCGGGGTTGTGGGGCTGCGAGGCGCTGCAAGGCTGCGGGGCTCCTAGCTGTGAGAATGGAGTGATGGCTAACTAAGAGACAAAGTGAGGGAGGCGCAGGAGACAGATCATAGAATGGCATAGGTGAGGGAGTGATGGCTGAGAGATCAGAGAACGACACAGGTGAGGGAATGAGTCTGTGACTTAGTGAGGGAGACGCGGGGTTAGAAAACTCTCATAGGGTTAATAGCATAGCCAAAAAACAACATTAACTTAAGGGTAAAAACAACATCAGTGCATCTAACGGTAAAATGATGTCGTTTTATACACGCTTAGGTTTGGTTCAGTTTTCGAATCCCAAAAATCGAAATCGAACCAGACCATTTCAGTTCGGTTCAGTTTTTCATGTTCGGTTCAGTTTTTTTTTCGGTTTGGTTTTTTTTTGTTTTCGGTTTTTTCAACCCACCCCTAGTTAGACAATTTATGCTTTAACTTAGAAACAACTTTTCTACTCCAACCCTTGTAGGTTAAATTTTTAGCCAAGATTATTAAAAAATGAATTAAGGCTAATTGATTTTATGAAAACTATTATGTAGACTATCCTAATTTATTTTATGAACACTTTAACCTAAAAATATTTAGATTCTGATAAATATTGAAAAATTATTAAACCCACACATATGAATAGACAAGTCTTTTGTCTAGTGCTCACATATATTAGATTATGTTGATGTCTCCAAATCCTAGACCACACCGACAACTTCATTTGACACCGGAAGTTGTCGGATTTTCATCACCTGCGGTGATCTAGCGGAAGAGGACGGATGATGTTAAGTTTACTACCTTGAAATTTCTTAGTTTTTAAAGGTTAATCTCAGTTTACTACCTTGAAATTTCTTAGTTTTTAAGATTTGGTACATCAAGTTTTTTTTGTCTTAGTTTGGTATCTAAAGTTATAATTTTGGGACATTTTCATATATCTGTTAAGTATTCCGTCAGAATCTCTGTTAACTGATGATGTGGCGCCCACTTAGATCATGACTAGACACCACATGTCAAAACATTAAAATAATAATAATAATAATAAAATTAAAATAAAAAAATAAAAAATTTAATTATTAAAAACACTAAACCTCTGCCCCTCTTCTCTATTCGACTCCTCCTTTCCTCGCCCCCTTTTCTCTCCATAACCACCACCTTCACCATTCCTCTCCTAACCCCCACCCTCCTCTTCCTCCTCCTTCTCTTGCAATCCAACCTAGACCCAAACCCCCAACGTCCTCCATCTTATGCTTATCCTGCACCCTATCAAAATTAATAGTTTAAGTCATTTTTATTGAAACTTCCAATAAAATAAAAATTCACATCGCGTTATTTGTGGAAGTAAATGAGGACAATACGGGCATACGGAAAGTTTCATTCAAAAAGGGCACTGGGTAGTGGGCACGCGTCCAATAAAGTAAAATTTCCCACCTCATTATTTCGAGAGTAAGATAGGGCAGTACGGCTTCTGATCTCTAATGGACCTCAGCAGGATTCGTACTGAAAGTTTCATTCAAGAAGGGCACTGGGTAGTGGGTACCCATCCAATAAAATAAAAATTGCAGCAAATTCTAACTTTTGAAGACAAAAACAAATAAAAAGACAATTTGGGAAAGTTATTTTGTATGAGAGGTCGGAACAGAAAAGTCAGAGTCGACTACTCGGCATTGTCACTTTCAAACGCGTTCTGCCTTTTACTCGGCACTCGGTTTCTTTGTTTTACAACACCACCTTCGGATCAAAGCACTGCATTGTAATATATGTATATGTTTTATAATGATATATATATATATATATATATTGTTGCTGGATATATATGTTGCAGGCCACAAGTGAGTGAATTGTAGAGCTGCAGCTGCTTGTGCAAATTCCAATCACAGTGAATTTAATCGAAACCCACTGCCGAGTTCATGGCGGCGATCTTCCTGATCAGTTAGGAGTTTCAAACTCTGCCTTTTACTCTGAACACGGTTTCTTTGTTTCACCAAACCTTCAGATCAAAGCACTGCATATAATGCAGGCCACGAGTGAGTGAATTGTAGAGCTGTAGCGGCTTGTGCAAATTGCAATCACAATGAATTTAATCGAAACCCACTGCTGACTTCATGGCGGAGAGCGATCACAATCATTGTAAGTTTGATATGTTCGATAACAATGTTTGACTTTTTGCAATTCATTGCAATATGAGTACGTTGATCCAATCCAAGTTCATCTGTGGTTCTTATGTTTTCTTGAAAGTTGTCAATATATGTATATATACACACACGTGAAATATATAAAAATTTTCAACTTAGATATTTTATTATTTATTGATTATGAATATTTTTTGATTATGATATGATTGAATGCAGCAAGTGAAATGGAAGCAAGACTCGACGGGAAAGATCATCGATGGCTACGTCCGGAGGAAATATGTGATGTTCTTCGAAATCCTAACGGATTTACAATTTCTAAGGAGTCTGCAACTATGCCACCAAGTATGACTTTCTGCTGCACTGCATTTGTTAAGAAATATTGTATTGGCTTATTTAACTCGAATTTTCTTTAGCATTTTAAGAATTTGATTTTTCTTTTTGCATCATTCTTAGAAGATTTATTTGGATGTGTATTGAAAATTCCCTTGATAAGTTTTGAACTGTTGGTCATTTGGATAAGAGGAAAGTTTATGTCAACCGGTGTTTATGTAAAGTATCGGTCGAGTTGGTAGATCATTTTCTTTTGGATTGCCCTCTCACATGAGATTTGTGGGTTTTTCTTTTCTTTATAAAATTAATCAGGCTATTTTTTATGCGAATTGATGTTGGCGCTCTAAAATTCTCATTTGTGAGGAGTGCACAATGAGATTTTTGGAGTGCCAATAATAGAACCCTTTTTTATTTATAAGAAATTAATTGGGATATAGTATTATTGGCTTTCAAGAATATAAGAATCGACATTTGCATTGGATGTTAAGACTTCATTTTTATTAATTATTTTGGGATGCATGTGAACATTGAATTGCTTTATTTGGAAACATATGAAACCTATATTTGCTTGACACACATGAATTGTTTTAGGTGGATCCTTTTTTTTTTTTGATAAGAACGTGCAGAGGCATTTTAGAAAAGATGGCTATGAATGGAAGAAGACAAAAGATGGAAAGATTGTTAAGGAAGCCCATGAGAAGCTCAAGGTAAGCATACGCCAAGGTTGATGTTATAAGAAATATGATGTATTAAGCATGACACTTAACCATACAACTATAGTTATGTAACTTAATCAGTTAATCTTGTAGATGTTGATTTATTTTGTGGAACAAATTGGCATGTTGGATATCGCCATCTGTAATTTGATGTAGTATAGTTGGAAGAATTTTGGTACAAAATTGATATGGAGCAATGGCATGGTATAATTTTGATGTGTTGCATTTGTGGGAAGAAAATAATCATGTTGAAAATTCCTTATTTTCCTAATTAAACTCATTGAACTATTATTGTACATCTCTGTCAGGTTGAAGGTGTTGATGCAGTGCACTGCTACTATGCTCATAGAGAAGATGATAATGATTTTCAACGACGCATTTACTGGTTGGTTGATAAGTAAGTTTCTAAAAGAATTTATTCTCTTTTTCGGCCTTAATGCAGTAATCTCTCCTCTAAACCCTAATATTTCACTGCTGTAGGAATCTCTCAAATATGGTTCTTATCCACTATCGGGATATAAAGGTTATGCCTCACACTGTCAGTTCCAATCCAAGTAATTTCCAGCATTCACAAGCTACTTATGCGACAAACTTGAATAGTACTCAGACATCAGAGCCCGAAAACACTGTTTCAGGTGCTTGTTTTACATCGTCAAAATCTTTCCCCGAAATTTGTCACGAGTACCTTTTCTTTTACAAATATTTCGGTGATTTTTTTTTTGTATTATTTGTTGTCCATGTTTATCTTCTATATATTTCTTCTACTGTTGTCGTCTTCGCTTAACACAATAAATGTTGCAGCATATAATCACCAAGCAAGTTCTGGGTTTCCCCCTGTTCTTGGATTGCAACATGATATTGCTTCTTCTAGTTCCAATCCAACTAATTTCCAGCATTCACAAGCTACGAATGTGACAAACTTGAATAGTGCTCAAACATCAGAACTCAAAACCACTATATCAGTTGTTTGTTTTACATTGTCAAAATCTTTCTCTAACGAGTTCCTAATCTTTTACAAATATTTCAGTGATTTTTTTTTTTTTTTTTGTATTATTTGTTCTCCGTGTTTATCTTCTATGTATTTCTTTTATTGTTGTCGTCTTCGCTTAACACAATAAATGTTGCAGCATCTAATCACCAAGCAAGTCATGGGGTACTCTATGTTCCTGGATATGAGATTGCTTCTTCTATTTCCAATTCAAGTAATTTCCAGCATTCACAAGCTACAGATGCGATAAACTTTCCAGATTTTCAAGGTTATGGTGATTTGTTAAACAAAACTTGTTGGTTGTTTCCCTTTGTTATTCATTTGGCAGCTGTGCCTTCCATATTTCTCTAGAGTTTTTCATTATTTAACCTGACATTCTATAATGTGCAGATAATTGGTTCGAGAATTTATTTATTGGTATGTGGAATGTGATCCTTTGTTTATTCATGTAACTTGTTCCAGTGTATCTTTTGAATCTATATTGTCTTTGTCAATACATGAGTTCATTAAATAGCTACTATTTGTTGAATTGGTCAATAAAAAAAAGACTAAAAAGCTGTTTCATATTTGCACGGAGAGGAAGACACTGAAACCTCTTTCCATAGTTTGTGTAGCCCAAATTCATCAAACTTTGGAGATGATGAACAGGTACTTGACAAGTACCTGTTTCATCCAGTACTACTTTTCTTTTATAATCATTTTGGTGATTTGGTAAACTAAACTTGTTTGTTCCTTTAGTGTGAATGTACTACCTCTGTTAGTTTTGTAAAAAACTCAGTCAAAGCACATCATGTGGAGCACATTTGCGCTTTGTTTTAAGGGTTTTTCACCACTCCATGACCCCTAGATGACTTGAGATAAGAATTATGTTTACTACAACTCGTGTACACATATCTTTTGCTTCCACGAATTACGAATTCGCCCAGCCACCATCAGATCGCCTCTTGAGTTTTCCTTGATACTTTTAAGTAAAACTTGTTTCCTTTTAAAAATCCATATCGTCTTTGTCAACACATGAATTCGTTCAAATAGTTACTGTTTGTTGAATCAGATTGCAAAGAAAGAGAGGTTGAGGAAGCTGTTTCTTCACGTTTTTGTTGTACATTGTCTGTGTTTTTCCAAAAAATTTCAAGATTTTGGTGATTTGTTTAACAAAACTTGTTGGTTGTTTCCCTTTGTTATTCCTTTGCCAGCTTTGCCTTCCATATTTCTCTGGAGTTGTTCATTATTTCACTTGACATTCTATAATGTGCAGACCCTAGTGATGGGGGAATCCCCGAGAATTCATGTACTGGGTTACCTGGTACGTGCAATGTGATCCTTTGTCTTATTCAAGCAACTTGTTCCAGTGTATCTTTTAACTCTATATCGTCTTTGTCAATACATGAATTCATTAAATAGCTGCTATTTGTTGAATTGGTCAACAACAAAAAACTGAAGAATCTGTTTCATATTTGCATGAAGAGGAAGACACTGGAATCTGGGTTAAGATTGTGGACAATGGCACGATAATTTTTTTCTTTTGTTTTGTACTTTTTTTCCCTATGCTCACAAAGTTTAATCCATTATTATTCTGATGCAGCCTGCACCAACTCGAGAGCCGGCTCGAGTGCTGCGGTGCAGCCAAGTCATTCATCTCTTGGAAAAAGGCAATGCGGTAAATTCTCAAGTTGCAACATTACAAAAACTGCGTTGATTTTTTCTCATTCATGCACTTGATTCCTAAAGGCAGTCTCTAAATAGTTTCTTAGCTGAGGGTGATGACTTATTTCTAGATTCCACTAACTCCAAGGTCACACCCCTTGCAACCACGGAAGGAGTAGATGAAGAGGAAGAGGGAAACGATACAAACCAATCGCGGAAGCGACTCAAAGTCACCTGTGGCCAGAAGGTAGACTCAGCCACCCAAAGTCACTCGTGGATGAAACCCCCAATTATTTCATGTTCCAAAACTAACATTCCCTGTTTCTCGTTACAGAATGCAACTCAAATTCCTTCTCTTACTATTGTCTTCCTTCATTTCTAAACTTCTAACAATATTTTGTTTTGGTGGCTCAAAAGTCAATTGCTACTTCTGCTGCAACCAACATAACTGCTGCTCCTGAGTCTAGCACTCCAGCCATGCTGCAATCAAGACCAACCTCAGATGCCAACCAAGATTTTGAGGTAAACACTATTTCATCTTTGATTTGTAGTGTGTGCGCGTATGTTTTTTTTATTTTTTAAATCTTTTGATCCGTCTTTATTTGAACCTTTTTGTTAACAAATCTGTTTGAACATAGAATCAAGAGCAGGAACTCGAGCCTACCTCTATTGAGCCAAAAAATGGCAAAAGCAAGGCTGTCGTTCAAAATGATTTTGGGTCAGGAAAGGTACGTACACAACTTTCTTTAATTCGACGTCCCTTAGGTCTTGTCAAATTTGAAGGTAAAACATGGATTAGAAAATAGAAGAATTTGGAGGGATAAATTTACTTCAAAACTAAACTATCTTCTATTCCATTCCAGTCCTTGACACTAGCTTAACGAGGCCTTAATAGTTTTCTCCAACGTCTTTCTATTGTAGAGTCATGAGTTTTCAGAAGTTGCAGTTTGGGACTCCTATAAAAGCCTCCTTGAACTTTTAGGCCGAGGGTTTGCACCCAATACACTGGCCAGCTCCTCCATTTCTACTCCTGCCACAGACTCGCAAGCCATAGAAACAGTCAGAACTTTTCTACAAATGGACTTTGCTACTATGGCTGGCAGTGTTAAACAAACTGACATGATTTCACACATCAAGAGACTCGTAGTTTCTAGTTGGTTTCCCTCTGACAGCGGCAAAACAAGCATTTTGCAATTATTGGAGCAGCTAGAGCAACCTATTCGAGACTATTCCGAGTATGATAAGGGCAAAAAATTGAATGCCCAAGTCGAAGATATGAGAAAGCTTCTTGAAATTAAGGTTCAGTTTTGTGATAGCAAGATGAGAGACTATCAAAGACTTGAGAATGAGAGAAAGCAGATTGTAGCCAAGCAGGCTGTAATATGTGCTGAAGTTGGTGGCGCCGTCCAAGAGACTGAACGAAACCAGGCAGAACTCAATGAATTGCTCCCACAGCGGGATCAATTTATACAAAATGAGGCTAATCTCAAGACCAGCTTGGTTATTGGAGATGGCTACTGGACAATCTTGAAGAAAGTAATTTTCGACAACCTCGCTCTGTGACTTTTTCTTTGGGTTGCATTTGGGCTGCAATTGTTATTCTTTTACTTTTCTTTTTGGTGGTGGATCTTAACAAATTCGACCCATAATATACCAAAATGGCAATAAGAAAGTGTAGAACAAGATTATACCTATTTGAAAGCCCAAGGGTTGCCGAAGATGGCCGAAAAATAGCTTGAAAGATGACTGGTCCGTGGGAAAACTGGAAACTCGCTGGAAACTACTTTTTCAATACTCAACGAAATCGAGTGATTCAAAAACGAAAAGCATACTTCTCGATGACACGAAGAGAATGGTACCTTTCTCAACAGCTTATGGGTACAAACTTATTCTAATTTTTTATGTATTTTGGAATGTTTTGAATTGAAAATTAGTTAGGAGTTTAATAAAGGTTTGCGTATTAAAATTATAAATCTATTATTAATTTTTATTTAAAAAAATTATGTAACTGATATGTAAATTCATTATTACATTAATGCTAGGGACTTGGATCAAGATCTGAAAACTAATAAAGTTTCAGTTAATGAACATTAGTAATTAGGGACCAGATACTAATTTTTATTTTTATTTTTTTGCCCTAACTATATATTATGCTCTCAAGGTTTAAGATGATATTTAAATTAGGTCATTAAATTTTAATTTTTTCAAATTGTTTAAGTTTTGGAACTATATCAATTTACACTTTTTGTAACATTAAATGTCTATTATACAATAAATTGATGAGTTTTTAGGTTTTATGTTACAAATGTGGCTTACATGTCAATCTAGTTACGGATTTAATACTCACCATGTCATCAAATTAATGAAGATTTAGTTAATTCATTACACAAAATGAGTAAATTGATACAATTTCAAAATATTAGGGTGCAATGTGACAAATTAAAATCTGATGACCCATTTTGAAAATCACGCAAAACATAGAGGGTGCAAAATATAAATAGCCAATAGAAAAAAAAAACACCAATAGAAAATGAAAAGCTTTTCCCAGATGCAAAATGTAGTTCACCAAAAAGAAAACAAAACCCAATTGAAAATGAATGTTAAAAAAACTGAAAAAGCTTTACTACCCAGAATTTTCTTGGTTTTTATAATTTCATACATCAAGATTTTTAATCCCAATCAGGTAACTAAAGTGATAATTCTGGAACACTTTCATACATCCGTTAAGTTTTCTTCAACTTGTGACGTAACCTCCATGTGGACAATGACTAGACGCCGTAGTTAATCTGAATCCGCGTGGATATTGAAAAAAAAAATTTAATTTCAAAAGTAAAAAAAAAAAATTTAAAAGCAAAAGGGAGAATAAAGGATAAGATCATCTTTAACTTTTGAATTAAAACCTAAATTTTCTAGATCAAACATAGGGCTAGGTTCGATTAAAAATGGCTTGGTTTTTTGCCAAAACCGAAACTGTTGCGATTTGGTTCAGTTCGGTTCATTTTTTTTTTGTTCGGTTTAATTTCGATTTGGTTTTTTCTTGTTCCGTCATGTCTTTTTTTTTTTTCAAATTTTTTTTGTTTCCGAAAATTGAAATTTTAACATCTCCAACATAATCATAAAATAAGCATTCCAAATTTCCAACATTGAAATTTGAAATTTTAACATCTCCAACATAATCATAACATAAGCATTCCAGCACAAAGAAAATAAACATTTAAAGTTCAACTAGAATCATCAATGAAGTCTTCCAAAATCCAAACTTAAAAAAAAAAAAAATATTTGAAAAAAAAATTTCAAAGTTTAAGTCTTCAAAAGTCCAAATTTAAAATAAACATCACATTTCAAATATCCACACCTAAAATAAACATAACAAAGTTCAAACTTTAAAAAAATATTCCACTTAACTAAAATCATAACAAAGTCCTTCAAGGTTTCATGTCTTACACGCACTTTTCTCTTCAAGCCCTCAAGCTCAACGCTTAGGCGGCCTATGAGGCAACATAGTACCTTTCGTTGAACTTCCACTTGCCATTTCTACATACAAATAAAAAAAAGAAAGAACATGATGTAATGCAAGTATGCAACATAACATCTAATTTAAATAAGGTTTTTTAAGTCAAAATGGTCCTTGAGATTGTCCACCAACCATTATTTTGATCATTCCGTTACAAACTCTATTAAATGTCCCAAAGCTTTTGGCCGGAAGATTAGGCAATTTTCAAAGCTTTGTAACTCAATCGTTTCTTAACCAAATTTGACACATAATATATTAAAATGAAGATATGAAAGTTTAGAACAAAATTATACCTATTTGGAAGCCCAATGGTTGACGGAGATGGTCGAAAAATAGCCTAAAAGGTGACGGAGATGTCGGAGATGGCCTGAAATTGATGAGTTTTTCGATTATGATATATTATGGTAAAAACACATGAAAGACCATGCATCCAATGATTGTGGACCTAATAATCTTGCACTCAACACCGAATACCTAAATGTCATCAAACCAAAGTAAACTTTCATTTAACCAAGTTCTTAGCACTTCAATTCAATCTTAAGTTAAAAAGAGTAGTTCAATGGACTAAAATTACACAAAAGGGAGAAAGACAGAACACAGAATCGTGGAAATGTGTACTGTGATACTGATCCTGCAAGTTAAATATGAAAAGTGTAAAAGCTCAAATTATCCTTAGCATCAGTAGATTAACAATGAAAAGAAGAAAACTTGTGTATGTTTTCATTTAGTATAACATGAATATGCACGTGCATAGTAAATACCAAGCAGAAAGTATTACCAGTAAATTAGATTCAACACAACATAGAGAACAATTCGACTACTATATGTGTAACTCTATAAACTCCTTACCACATCAATCTTGAGAGGTCCAAAAAGTCTAAAAGTCTCAAAAACTTATCCATATTCAGCTCCAATCGCCTGAAAACACCAAAAAACTGAGTGGTAAATATAAATTCATCAAAATTCCTTATTCAAGGATAAGCTAAAAATGGAAAAGATTCAAATCCCAGAAACTGTTTGTTGAGATCCAAGAAATTCTATCGCAGCTGAAATTTTCATTCTTAGATTGCATGGACAACCCTTTTTGTTTTGGTAAGATCCTAGAAATTCTATTGCGGCTGTAAATTTTCATTTTGCACCTTAACTCATGCCAATTTAAATGTGACTTTCATGCCCAATCTGCATCATGTGTCTATGGACAAATAGTTGTAATGCTAAAACTCAAATTCTGTCCCAAGTATGCAAGGGTCACAAACATATATACACACACCTCGAACTGAAAATTTCAGAGAGTGATCTAGCCTAGTAGCATTAATGTAAACCTTCTTTCTGCACTTCAACCGCCTCATTGTTTCTTCCGCAAGTTTTCAAACAAATCTGTAAATAGAATGAAAGAGAAATTATAGATTATAATGGCAACAATCTTTAAAAAAAAAAAAAAAATTTTAAACTCTGTACCTTTCTTTTTCTCATCCTAATAAGTTCTCTCAGCCTAGGCAAAAGAGAAAAAAAATTCAATGAATTTAGACATGAAGAAATGAAGAAATTTATACTGTAAAGAATGCAAACGTAGACATGAAATGATAACTCTATTGGTAGAATGAAAATGATGTCTACTCTAAATCACATCCTTTCACTAATAACATCTTACTTATTTTTTAAAGGAAATGTAAACAGACATTTTAGAATGAGTTGGAACTCATTTTGTATATTGAGATAAATGACTATCTATTTGATATTAGAGTATCACAATGGCATACCTTGGCCTTTTGGACTGGTCTCTCGCCAGAAGTCATCTTTTATGTTAACATTTGATGTTATGACTTTTGCATTCAACTTGTAAAATATAAGTAAACTTTATAATTTGATTGTTTCATTTTAAAAGGTGGAAATTAGGGCAAACCACACTGGACAAAAACCAAAAATGAGAAAAAGAAGCATTAAGAAACACAGAATACGAGACTAAGCAAATATATATCACATATACTATAAAGAGCCTAAAATTTAAAACTCAATAATTAAAAAATTTAAATTGCTTACCTTAAACAGCTGAAATTTTCAAAAACACGACAATCAATCTGTGCAAAAAGGCAAACAACGAACGATTATTAAAGTGGACAATAGACTTTAGGGAGAATGCATACTTCTGCTGACACTTCGCCCAAGGTTGATTTAGTGGATCTATTAAAAGCACACAATAATATCTCTTACCCACTATATCAGGCAAGGATGATTTGCATACTGGTCCATTTAAACTTATACAATAGTTCTCCCAGTCAAATTTGCTTAAGTAATCCAAAAATCTATAAAGGACCTATAGAAATGAAAAGTAATTAAGTTCTTAAACTTATATATGTATCGGAAAGAAGGATTCAAAATTGACTTGGGAGTACTCACTGCCAGAGGGCCATCCAGTGACGAATGGAAAAGGAACATGCATTGCTGTGTAAAAAAGGAACATGCATTGCTGTGGTATGGCAAAAAGGAAAATATTTCGGGTTCTAGCAGAAACCTATACAGAAGAAATTAAATAGCAAAAAGGAAAAATATTGGGAACTCTTCACTCAATTCCAAAATGTGGGTTTCAGAGTTACGATCTACATTTGTCAAAAGGAAGAGAAATAATACAATTTCCTATGTAGCTAATTACTTATAAACCCTAACGCAAATGTGGGTTTCAGAGTTACGATCTACATTTGTCAAAAGGCTGAGATATCATAGAACGACACAAATGAGGGAGTGATGGCTGAGATATCAAAGAACGACACAGGTGAGGGAGTGAGTCTGACTTAGTGAGGGAGGTGTGGGGGTGGAAAACTCTCCTAGGGTTAATAGCATAGCCAAAAAACGACATTAACTTAAGGGTAAAAACGACATTTGTGCATCTAAAGGGTAAAACGACGTTGTTTTATACACACTTCGGTTCGGTTCGATTTCTAATCCCCAAAAATCGAAATCGAACCAGACCATTTAGGTTAGGTTTGGTTTTTTTTTTTGGTTTTCGGTTTTTTATCCCACCCTTAGTCAGACAATTTATGTCTTAACCCAAAAACAGCTTCTTTGCTCCAACCCTTCTAAGTTAAATTTTTAGCCAAGATTATAAAAAAATGAATTAAGGCTAATTTATTTTATGTAAACTATTATGTAGACTATCCTAATTTATTTTATGAGCACTTTAACCTAAAAATATTTAGATCCTGATAAATATTGAAAAATTACTAAACCCACACATATGAATAGACAAGTCTTTTGTCTAGTGCTCACATATCTAGATTCCGTTGATGTCTCCAAATCCTAGACCACACCGACGACTTCATTTGACGCCGGAAGTTGTCGGATCTTCATCGCCTGTGGTGATCTAGCGGAAGAGGACGTAGGTGTTGTGGGTAACTCATGTTATTTTTTATAGGGCTAATCCCAGTTTACTACCTTGAAATTTTTTGGTTTTTAACATTTGGTACATCAAGTTTTATTCGTCCTAATTTGGTACCTAAAATCATAATTTTAGGACATTTTCATATATCCATTAAGTTTTTCATCAGAACCTTTGTTAATTGATGATATGGCGCCCACTTAGATCATGACTAGACGAAACATGTCAAAACAATAAACAATTAAAATTGGTACATTTCACATATAACAAAAGTGGTACATTAATAAAGAAGAATGGGTACATTATAAATAAATTAGGGTACAGATAAAAGATTAAAAAAATTATGAGTACAAATGAATTTTTAAAAAATATTTTAATACATGGGTACAAAATAAAACTAAAAAAAAAATATCACAAATTAAAAAAAAAATTGCAAATTAAAAGTGGGTACAAACTAGAAATATAAATATATGATACAAAGTTTAGGCATAAAACATAAATATACAATATGTAATTTTTCTATTATTGATTAAATATACAATGTCATGTGAAGGTGTACACATGGGTACAAACACAAATAAAACTTTAAAAAATATGGGCACAAAAAGAAACTAATATATGGGTACAAATTAAAAATGAAAAGAAAATTGGTACAAATTAAAAAAATATTTGCAAATTAAAAATAGTTACAAACTAAAAATAAAAATATATGATAAAAAATTTAGCCATAAATATAAATATACTAATTGTAACATTTTTAACTCTAAAGGAATATATTTTAAAAATAAAAATATTTTATTATTCAAATAATTAATGATGTTATTAATACCCAAGGACCTTAATCAAAAATTGAAAATAAATAAGATTTTAATCAATGAGGTAACAAAAAGAAGAATGTGAATTTAATTTCTCCTTTTTTTTTTTTCTTCCAGAAACAAGGGTAAACTCGGAATATTAAAGACAAACAAATAAAAAGACAATTTGGTGCTTCGATTGATTTTTTTTTTTTTTTTCGGGTGCTCCGATTGATTTGATGCGGACAAATTATTTTGTATGAAAAGTCTGAACAAAAAAGTCAGAGTTAGCTACTACTCGGCATTCACTCTTTAATACTCGGCAATCCCTTTTAAGCGCGTTCTGCCTTTTACTCGGCACTCGAGCCTTATTTTGTGTGAGAAGTGAACAGAAAAGTCAGAGTATGCTACTCGGCACTTTCACTTTTAAACGCCAATCGAAACCTTTCTTGATCAATTTGGAGTTCCAAACTCGCCCGTTTACTTGGAACTCGGTTTCTTTGTTTCACAAAACCTTCAGAACAAAGCACTGCATTATATATTGCAGGCCATGAGTCAGTGAATTGTAAAGCTGTAGCTGCTTGTGCAAAATTCCAATCACACTGGTTCATCAAAAAATTCCAGTCACACTGAATTTAATCGAAACCCGCTGCTGACTTCATGGCGGAGAGCGATCGCGATCATCGTAAGTTTGATATGTTGGATAAAAATGTTGACATTTTGCAATTTATTGCAATATGAGTATGTTGATCTTGTAAGAGTTGAATAATTTTTTTTCTTTTTTTTACGGATATTTACTTGTGTTCGTAAATATATTTTGATCCAAGTTCATCTGTGGTTCTTATGTTTTCTTCAAAGTTGTTAAGAAATATGTCATCGAGTATGACTTTCTGAGAAGCCTGCAATTACGCCACCAAGTACGACTTTCTGCTGCGTTGCATTTGTTAAGAAATATTGTATTGGCTGATTAAACTCGAATTTTCTTTAGCATTTTAGGAATTTGATTTTGCTTTCTGCATTCATACACTATATTTCATAGAGGGAGACTCTATATAAATAGTTTCTTAGCAGAGCGTGATGACTTATTTCTAGACTCCACTGCCTCAGAAGAAGGAAAGTCCAAGGCTACACCCCTTGGAACCATTGAAGAAGTTGTCGTGATGAGCTCCCATGAAAGACTTCATGAACTTTTAGACCGAGCGTCTGCATCCAATACACTGGCCAGCTCCTCCATTTCTACTCCTACTTCAGAAATGGACATTGCTATGATTTTGGTTGGTTCTAATTACTTTCCCACCGACATCGGACTAATGATTTTGGCAGTATTGGAGCAGCTAGAGCAATCTGTTCTAGCCTACCCCGAAGCCTATCCTGAGTATGATATGGCCAAAAACTTGAGTGAACAAGTCAAAGCTACGAAACAGCTTCTTCAACCTAAGGTTCAGTTTTGTGGCAGCAAGGAGAGAGAATTTCAAGACCTTGCAGAAAGGAAATTCTGGATTGAAGCCAGGCAGGCCGCAATAGTTGCGGAAATTCACGGCGCCATCAAAGAGACTGAACCGATCCAGGCACAACTCGAGAAATTGCTCCTGCAGCAAGATCAATTTAAAGAAAATGAGGGTAATCTCAAGACCATCTTGGATATTGGAGATGGCCTCTGGACAACCTTGAAAAACATAATTCACCCCCACCTCCCTACGTGACTTCCTTTCTTGGGTTGCATTTGGGCTGCAGTTCTTTTTCCATTTCCTTTTGGTGTTGTTTCGGGCGGTGTGCCCCGTAGATTGAAAAATCATGTTTAAGCCGTATTTTGGCCTTTTGAACTTTAATTGAAGTACTTTTATATTATATGACTTTTTTAGATTGTCACTAACGAGTGCATTTGCTTTGTGGATCAGGATCCTCTCCTGATCTTTCTATGGGGATCTTCATGACCAACAAGTGTGGGACGTTGGATGAAAATCTAACGGCTACAAACAGAAGGGTCCCTTTACCGTTATAATAATTATAGCCGTTGGATTTTCATCCAACGGCCCACACTTATTGGTTATGAGGATCCCCATAGAAAGATCAGGAGAGGATTGATCCTTGCTTTGTCAACCTTGTATTTCTATTTTTTACTCTTTTAATCTCTCATTTTCGTTTGAGCCAAGGATGAGGTTATAATTAGAATCTAAATGCATGACAATGATAAAGAAAAATTGGTTTTGATGGATGTATAAAATCAGCAATAACCTAGTTGTCTTTATAATAATTTATTTAAATTTGGTCATGTCAATTTCTTTTTTATTTCAATCGTGGTTAATGTTTAGGAAAGTTGGATATAACTATAGGTTCGACTCCGAGAGATTCTTTGTTAAAGTTTTTTGCCCCAACTATATATTATGCTCTCAAAGTTTAAGATGATATTTAAATTAGGTCATTAAATTTTAATTTTTTCAAATTGTTTCTTAAAGTTTTGAAACTATATCAATTTACACTTTTTGTAACATTAAATGTCTATTATACAATAAATTGATGAGTTTTTAGGTTATATGTTGCAAATGTGGCATACATGTCAATCCAGTTACGGATTTAAGCTCACCATGTCATCAAATTAATGAAGATTTAGTTAATTCATTACACAAAATGAGTAAATTGATACAATTTCAAAATATTAGGGTGCAATGTGACAAATTAAAATCTGATGACCCATTTTGAAAATCACGCAAAACAAAGAGGGTGCAAAATATAAATAGCCAATAGAAAAGAAAAAAAACCAATAGAAAATGAAAAGTTTTTCCCAGTTGCAAAATGTAGTTCACCAAAAAGAAAACAAAACCCAATTGAAAATGAATGTTAAAAAAATGAAAAAGCTTTACTACCCAGAATTTTCTTGGTTTTTATAATTTCATACATCAAGTTTTTTAATCTCAGTCAGGTTTCTAAAGTGATAATTATAGGATACTTTTATACATCTGTTAACTTTTCTATTAAAATAATCGTTAACTTGTGACGTAACCCCCATGTGGACAATGACTAGGTGCCGCGGTCAATCTGAGTCTACGTGGATATTAAAAAAATTTAAAAATTTTAAATTTTAAAAAAGCAAAAAGAAGAAGAACAGATAAGATCATCTCCAACCCTTAGGTTAAAACCTAAATTTTCTAGGTCAGACATAGGGCTGGGTTCGGTTTTTTGCCAAAATCGAAACTTTGGTTCGGTTCGGTTTGGTTCATTTTTTTTCGTTTTTTTTCAGTTCGGTTTAATTTCGCTTCGGTTACGTTTTTTTTTTTTTTCAAATTTTTTTTTTTTGAAATTTGAAATGTTAACATCTCCAATATAATCATAACATAAGCAATCCAAGTTTCCAACATTGAAATCTGAAATTTTAACATCTCCAACACAATCATAACATAAGCATTCCAACACAATGAAAATAAACATTTAAAGTTCAACTAGAATCATCAATCAAATGTTCCAAAGTCCAAACTAAAAAAAAAATCAAAGTTTAAGTCTTCAAAAGTCCAAATTTAAAATAAACATCACACTTCAAGTATCCACACCTAAAATAAACATAACAAAGTACTTCAAGGTTTCATGTCTTACACGCACTTATTCTCTACAAGTCCTCAAACTCAACGCTTAGGCGGCCTATGAGGCAACATAGTACATTTTCTTGAACTTCCACTTGTCATTTCTACATACAAATAAAGAAAGAAAGAACATGATGTAATGCAAGTATGCAACATAACATCTAATTTAAATAATCTAACAAAACCAAATCTAATAAGTAAGATTACCTTTCTCAACTTCTTCACAAAACTCAATCTCCTCAAAAGTCGGTGAAATTAACATATATGAAATAGGCAAAAATTATCCTATGAAATTAACATATACCACTGGATACCACATTTTAAATTATAGGCAAAAGTTAACATATATGAATAATGAATCTATGAAATAAGCAGAAGTAGATAACCATAACTCAAACAAAGGTCCGGTTGACAAAAAGAGGCATAAATTAACATATACCACTGTATGCTATCATTGATTATTTTCCTACCACCTCTCTATTCAAACAAAGATCTGGTTGACAAAAAGAGTCAGGGACATATTCGACGATGTACCAAATCGAAAAAATACAAATGCAAAATATACTCCTAATTAACTGATGAAAATAAAAAGCTACAGCAGCCACAATGAGCATATGTGTGCATACATGTGTTTAGACTTGTCTCAACAAACATATGACTGGAGGAAAAACCTAAAGCCAATCTTAACAAATCCACAATGTCCTTAGGCCATCTCCAACCGAATGATCCAGAGGGCTACAGGGCTGAAAATAGCCCGAAACCGTCTCCAACTGAGAGCTAATGGGCCCCACGAGACAAAAAAGAGTCGAATGGCCAACCAACTGGCCCAACCTAGCCAACCAACCATTGGATTGGATTTGATTTTTTTTTTTTTTTCAACCTAAATTTTAAAATTTTTTTTTTAAATTCTCATTTTAATTTCCTATAAATACCTAAGCCATTCCTACATCATTTGTCACATAATTTTCACCATTCCATACTATCTCGCTTCATTCTATTTCAATTCTTCACATTCTATTTTCTTACCTCTTCCAATAATATTTCCTTCAATTTTTTAAATAATTTTCAAGTAGCCTCATCTTCAATGAAAGGTAGGGTTTGGACCCGAAAAGAAGATGAAGTACTTTGCAGGGCTTATAGATGGGTCTCAAAAGATAGTGTGAGGGGACATTCTCAAACAAGTGAAGGTGTTTGGACTCGTGTGTTCAAAAAATACTATGAGTTCTACGAAGGCACCACTCCACGGAATACCCGAAACCACGAGAGTTGTTCTTCAAGATGGAAGAAACATCTTCATCCAAGTTTGAATAAAATGGCATCAATCACTATTAGCAACCGCAAGTAAACATGAAAGCGGCGCCAATTACTACGACGAAGTAAGTGTTTTCACAATTTATTTTAAATATTTAATTATATTACATTTAATTTCATAAATTAATTTCTTTTAATTTTTGTAATTATATTTAATTCTATTACATTTAATTTCATAAATTAATTTCCTTTAATTTTTGTAATTATATTTTATAGGTATGCCAAACAGAGGAATTGTATATGGAGGGCAATACCCTTTTAGCATTACGGTTGTTGGGAAATTTGTAAGGGGTGGATGTTACTTGAAGATCCACCTCAACATAGAGTAGGTCCTACGCCGATGTTCAGAACTACATCCTCAGTTGTAGATGAGGATGAAGATGGATCTCCTACCATTCAAGAAACAAGGGTAGAAAATCCGTCTTCGGGTGAAGGTTCCACACCTAGGGCTATGGGACGAAACAAGGCTCGAAGGTTGAAGGAAAAGGGTAAGGCAAAGGATGATTACGCCGCTCAACAGGAAGTGGCAACATCATTGCAATTAATGGCGGAGCAAAATGCCATTGCCGCTGAAGAAAGGAACCGTAAGCATGAAGAACAAGTCAAACAAATACAAGAAGAGATGGATGATAGGAATATGCAAAGGAACATTTCGGATTACACTCCAATGAGTAAGGCCTATTTTGATAGGAAAAAGAGGAAAATTATGGCCCGGTGACAATTGTTTACCTCCGACTATACTCCTACAATGGCGGATGATGAAGATGATGATGATTATGGACTTTAAATTAAAGTTGTTGTAGTTTTTAAAATTTAGTTGTAGTTTTTAAATTTAAGTTGTTGTAGTTTTTAAATTTAAGTAGTTGTAGTCTTTAAATTTAAATTATGTTTGGCCCTATAGCCTTATGGCCTTCGATTGGAGATGGTTTTTTGTCACAAGGCTATGTTTGGCCTATGGCCCTCTAGCCCTTCGGTTGGACATGGTAAGAAATATGACCATGCATTGTTCATTAATATATTAATTTCTTGGAGGGCTATAGGGCCAAAGAGAGTCATCTGGGCCTCATTCGGTTAAAGATAACCTTATTTGATCTGACCAACATATATAGCATAATGAATGGTTTTATATCAGCGCCTTGAAAGACCATGTCAATCATGTCAATGGGATCAATCAAGAAATTAAGAAGAGACATGATGCATGAAGATAGAAGAAAGAAAAGCTCATATTCCAATCTGATGGCAAATGCCATGATATGTTTTCACCTTTTTTGAGGAGTTTACCTACGCAATATATAACAATTTATTCATAACAAAGGACCGCTAGAACAACAACAAAATCACACCCTCGGTTTGAAACATATTATTATGAAAAAGGAACATGCATTGCTGTGGTATGGCAGAAAGGAAACCTTTTCGGGTTCTAGCAGAAACCTATACAGAAGAAATTAATAGGAAAAAGGAAAAATAATGGGAACTCTAAGGGCTGGTTTGGTATTGCTGTGCTTTAAAAAAAAAAAGCTGCTTTTGCTGTGCTGTGAGAATAAGCAGCTGTGAAATAAAGCAGCAGAGTGTTTGGTAAACTTTTTTGTAAAAGTGCTTTTGAAAAATAAAAAGCAGTATTAGATTGTTTGGTAAACTTTTATGTAAAACAGATGTGAAAAAAGCCGATTTTTCAAAGCTAGGTTTTGCAGCTTCTTGTTTTTGGCTTTTTTCATCCAAAACTGTGAAAAAAAGTTGAAGCTGAGTATTTACCAAACACAAAAAAAGCACCCAGCTTTTTTTGATAGTAGCTTTTTTCAGAATCACCTCAGTACCAAACCAGGTCTAACTCAATTCCAAAATGTGGGTTTTAGAGTTACGGTCTACATTTGTCAAAAGGAAGAGAAATAGTACAATTTCCTATGTATCTAATTACCTATAAACCCTAACTCAAATTGCTGGATAGGGATGGTTCAGATTAAT